GTGGGTAAATGACATTCACCCAAGAGAGTTCCTCTTTCAAACTCACATTCACAACATAACACTTTATTGCTTTGTTGCTAAATCAACACAAGAGTGGAGCTCTATAAAAGGTGAAGTTTGAATTCAGTGTGATTTGAACATTTCCCAGCAAAATAGGTCTCTTATTTTATATTTATGATTTTAATCACAGATTACTGTATCTTCCTTATAATCTCAACTACATTGTAATTGTATAAAATAGCCACCTTTTTAAAGTGTGGGGTAATTGATTCTACTATTCTCTTATGAGCTCAGGAAAAACAATTCTCAGGAACTGTTGCTTAAGCAAACTAGTTTTGATATTTTAGGGCTGACTCTGCACAACACAGAAATATAGGTGAGGAAACTAAATATCTGAAAATCAAAATGACTTTTTGCAAACAGTACAGCTAGTTGGTGATAAGATGGAACCAGTGTCATAGGTTACAGCATAACATTGGTGAGTGGTGGCTACTTGTGCTCTGAGTAATGAAGTCCTTTGTCTCTGACACAGGGATCTCATGTCTTCTGCAAGCATCTGTTCAGGCTAACTCATTAAGTTGTATAATCATTTTGATGGGAATTCTTTGGTTTCTAGGTCTCCTCCACACATTAAAATTACTATGTAGGATAAAATCCCAACCATTGGCTTCCCAAAGACTCCATTTTTTTTTTGAAATGCAATTCTTCCCTTACTCCACTCCAAACAAACACAGAGTTGGGGTTGCAGAGCTCCAAGAATATATTTTCTTATAATGTAAACCCACTGGAAATAGAGATATTATTCTTTCACAGGGAACTGGACCTGAAACCATACACACATGAAGTCATCAGCTGAAATCATGTTCCTCCATGTGGGTGAAGAAGCAAAGAATACTGATTTGTATATTACTCATAAGGTGACTTGTGTCCCACTTGACCTGAGACAATCCTTGCTTCTATCTTTTGTCTCAGTATAATTATTAATAGTATCTTCTCTCAACTGTCCTCATTTGAAAGCTAAATTATGTGATTACCCTAATCACTGAGGACTCTTCAATAGCAAATGATAGAAGCTCTGCTTGACCAGTAATTCTGGGATATCATTCTGGATCCCATCATCCAAGGTACGAGACACAAATTTCAAGCATTTGGAAAGAGTGGACGGCATTTACCTCTGCATGGGAACAAACGTCTTTGAACTGGGAAGGTGCCTATATCTCACCTTTGGTGAAGAGGGAGCTCCCTTTTTGAGTCTGATTCTTTTATAAGTGTTGCTGTGTAGGCCCTCGCCGTTATTGGTGATATGAAGAGTAGCTCACCCTAACATTGTTGACCCTAAATATGATTGCTACAAAGGTTATTCTACCCCATCCTCTGGCCATAGTTAGGCAATCTTCATGTGTGGATGCTGATAAGAGGTTAAGACTGTCATTGGGAGTTTGACTCCCAATTCATGTATTCATTCTCTATATCAACTAAGTTCAACTTACAGGGAGAAAGAAGAATGAAGTGGACAAGAGCAGAGAGAGAAGACACCTTGGTTTCTTCATATGATCCAATCCCCATTGAGGCTGCCTCTGAGGTGCATTCTTGCCTTAGTTTCCATAAGATGCCACAATTTCTGCATAATTATAAAACCCATAAGTTCTAAGATATTTCTGTAACTTGCAATCCTTAAAATAATAATACAACTCAGAATCTAAACTCAAAATTAGCAGAGTTAATAATCTGCTAATGGATAATAAAATAATGTACTAGTATATTCAGAACACTGTTTATAATTCTGGGCATTCTTAGCCTGTGAAGACTCACTGAAATGAAAATTATTTTCTCAAGAATAGGTTCCATTCTGAAAGACAGATAGGGAAACATATGAAATGATTTCTTAAAACAAAAATATGTATGTATAAATAATGTATACATACGATGAGATTGTGAGAATGGAGTGGTTACTTAAAAAAATTATGCTTTATAGTTTTATTAGCTTCTACATCCTGCTATGGACATGTCTGAAACGGGTTTTGCATGGTTGTTGGGTAAATTAGAATGGAAAATAGAATTTTACCATGTTAGCCAGAGCTCTATGGAGAAAGTGTTTTTTTTTTTCCCAAAGTGTGGTGAAGAGGAAGATGGTTCCAAACCAAAGAAGCAGCTTGACAGGTGATTTGGAGGAAAGGGATCATTGAGATAATTTCCTCAGGTTTAGTAGGTGAGAAGGAAATAGACTGATTACTTCTAGTGTTTCCTTCTTAAGGGAACACATAATCAGGTTCTTTGTTATTTATTAATTTATCTTCATTAAATGTAATTCACAAGTACAGAACCATCCAGGGGTTTTCCTTTTAGTGTGCACATTAAGTCAGCAGATGAGGCAGAACAAAAGTTGGAGTTAGACCAACACTACTTGGGCCCCATAGGAAACTTAGAGAACAATCGGGGCTTAGTTTAGGGCTTCTAGGAATGCTGGTGGGAAATCTACCAAGTTTATCAAGGAGTTGGTCTAGCAGAGTTTTGACAACTGTAGGCCAGTCGGGAGTTCTAAATAGGTAATACTCTGCTGCATGTGACCCAGAAGGCCTGGGACTATACTTGGTCCTCTTTATCAAGTTCCCAAGGACGGAAATCCTGGCGGAACTCTCCTCCCTCCTTTCCACCTCAAGGCAGAGAGGTGTGAGAGACAAGATGCCTTCCTTCAGAAGCTCTCCACAGAGATGTGACGTCTGTCTATAAGCAGCGGACTATCCTTGCTAATGATACTGACAGTCATAGTGAAAGTTCACTGGGGCTATTCACCATTCCAGTGCTTTTCAGATGCCATTCATTTAATTCTCATAAACACATGTGACAGATCCCATTATTATCCCCATTTACAGATGAGAAAACTAGAGCAGGGAGAGTTAAAGTAACCCACCCAAGGCCATAGCCATGAAGTGACAGAGCTGAAATTTGAACTTGTGTCCCTTGGCTGCACGGTACATGCTTCGAACAACTTTTTCTGCCTCCCATTAATGGTGATCAGCTGATAGCGGCCAGTGCTTGGCCCACAGTAGGTGCTCAATGAACATTTATTGATGAACTGCCCGTTGGGCTCATGGGGCACTCTCCTTGATTTGCCAGAAGGTGAGCTAACTCTAAAATGTGCAGTAAGTGCATATGTACTAGGCTGGTCCTGCACTTTTTCCTCTACTACATCTACTGGAGATGGAAACCTGTGGATCTAGGAAATGGTCTTCATCTTAGAACTAAAAATTTCTTTTCTGGGTCACATGTTCCTTGAAAATCATGTAACAGGTCATAATCCTCTTCACATAAAAACACTCATAGTTTTTTGCATAATGTCCAGAACTGTTTATATCTCTAGGACCTTCCAGAAATAGCAACCACAGATTTTTGAAGAGGAACCCTGAACTTTGAATATTGCTAGATTTCATTTTCAAGCAAGTTATACATGTGCTTAGTTTAGGGAAAATTGTATTCACGTTTTAACCGATGTCATTGCAGTTGCTTTTCTCCTTCAGGGGAAAGCTCTGTGCCTGTGCTGCCATCGGCTGTGGCCACTAGCTGGTGGCCTCTGTGCATTCTGTGGCAGGGCTCCAGAAGGGCAGAGCGCTCCTCTGGGGAGCAGATGCATGAGCTCCAGGTTTCTGACATGAACATTACTGATGGTGCCTCTGCTGAAAGACCTCATTATTATCAGGGCAAATACTAGGAGAACAAAGGGACGATTGTCAGAACAGAGGGCTATCTGTTGCTGTTAATTGAATATTTTTTATTATGATATTAAGTTAGTCAGAGATTACAGCATGTCTTTTTGGGCATGAGTTCATTTAGGCAGTTCTCTTAATATGGGAACTAAGAAGCACATGCTACACACTCACAAGCCTCCTTTATCTGAGTCGTGGTGAGCGACAGCTTGCAGCTGTCGCCATCTATTTGAAGAGCTTGCAGTCTTTTTTGGGGGGTGGAGGTGAAGAGTAGAGGAAAAAATGGCATGAATTTTGATATCTTTTTCACATTTAAGATTCCCTGGAAAAGGATAGAATTTGAATTAACATGAAGTCCTTCCACGAGATTGTAGAATATAAACATGATTTATTGCTGGAGTCGATGTGTTTCAGTTCTCAGGCAAAGACTAGAAGCATTAGACAACTTGGGGGAGCAGATAGTTGCATCATCCCTGTGAAACATACTGTATCCTTGGGCACAAGGAGGGGTTGTCGAATGAGTGGAAACAACACTGGGTGGAGGGATAAAGGTTTGGATTCACCTCTAGTTCTGCCATCAACAACTTACATGGTTTTCAACAGGTGACTAATTCCCTGAGCCTCAGCCACAAAGAAAAGAGGTTGAGTTGTGAGATCTGGTGAGCTCTGGAATACTACCATTTTATGAAAAGAAAAGACCTCAAGCATTTTGTTGTTTTAAGTTGCTCCAACAGATGAACTCCCGGGAGTCTGTGTTCTCTGTTCCATTAGTGAGGGCATCGCAACATCTTGGATACACATTAGGATTGTTCCACTGAGAAATGAAGTCAATGCTGAGAATTCACATTTGGATTTCTCTGAATATTACTTTCAGGGTCAAGATCAGGACACTCTTGATTTATTTTGTGGGCTTTCCCCTTGCAGTGTGAGAGATATTCAGGTAACAATAAGAACCATGGCTCTGAGTTTTCTTCCTTGAATTTAGCCTTATTCTTTCCTTATTTTATTTTTAAAACAATAATTATTATTATTTTCTTTCAACTGGGAAGTCTGGGGAGGCACTTGGGCTAGTTGATTAGGAGGTGATCTAACAGGGATGACATTGTTCAGCTGATTTGTTTACTCATTGTTTAAGCCACTTCATTTTCATGGTCTTAATTTTCCCCAATATTAGCTTCCCACATCATGGCCTGTAAGCATTCTAGCAGTCCTACAGCCAGAGCACAGAGCAGAACATTTAGCAAAGAGTAGAAAAGAGAAAATAAAATAAATCAACTTTTATTTTATTTATGTTTCAAAAGAGGAGTACAAGGCATACTATATTTTGATGCTAACAAAGGCAGCCTGAGGAAAAATATGAGGTTATTAATGATGCTGATATAAGTTGCATTATCTGAATGTCATATTAGATTTTGGTGCTCTGGTCAAAAACAAATTATGATCTCATCCTAAAGTTTTAAGATATTAGGGAAGTATTCATTTAAAAACTATACAATACTAAATGTTTTTGCTCTTCCCACAGCTAGCTGGTGATTTTGTGGATCATTTCTCTTAAGATTTGAGTTTCTTCACATTCTGGTCTCCTCTAGAGGCCGACCCATGAGTTCCTGAATAGCCTGATGCAAAGGAAGCCATTGTTTGATGGACATTTTCAGAGCTCCAATCCAGCTGCAGAAATAACAATGCAGGGCAGGTCATTAAAAAATTGTTGGACTCTTGGGAGGTGAAATGTTATAAAGTCTTTTTTTGGTTATTTAATTTAAAATTCATAAGGTAAACTATGCTCCTTCAGTTTTGGACTGAGCAAAAAGGTAAAATACTCAATGTGAACTATGCAGTGGTAGCACTGAAGTAAAACTATGTTGATATGAACAATAGGATCAGAAGAGGGTACAGTGTTTGTAAATAATGGTGAATGGACTTTTAATATAGGGCTTTTAAAATTATTACTAATATGTTACTGTTTCTAGTTAAATTTGAAGTTTAGCTTGATCAGACATATAGTAATCAAATATTGCCATTAGGGAAAAATATTTCTTTGTTACGTTCTGTTAACCACAGCACACTGCCCAGTTAGCTCTGCTCTCTTTTCCTCTCCCTTCCTTTCATTTTCTTAGGTGATATTTTATAAAATATACCCATATAACATTTACTGTAAGAGTGATCAATAGATGTTATTGTTTTAAAAATAGTTAGGATCAGAGAAGCTTAGGTAGTATGAGTTATAGAGGTAACCAGTGGGGTGTTTCAGAAACATTAATAAGTCAGAGTACTCTGTAATTCTCTAAGAGGGCAAGATGGTTTCTATCATTTCCTAAACTTACTTAACTGCTTTTTGGGGAGTGGGGTATCTTGTGGAACCAGAGTTCCATGAATCACACTTTGTGAAACTCTGCTGTTATGCTTTGATATATTTCTCTAGTGATTCAGTATTGTTTCCTATTGATAATATCCACTCATGGCTTTGGCAGTGAAATCAAGCCATTCAACTTGCTCTCTTAGAGAAGTCAGTGGATTTTATTAGACAGAGTTAACTCTATTTCACTGACCCATTTTCTAATATGCCAGCTACAGCCTCACTTTCAAGGGAAACATCTTAATCTTCTACCCAGACTGTATAGCATAAACCCAAAGAAGAAGATCCTGGCAAAATATCTTGCAATTCTGTATTCATTATCCTTTTAATCTAGTCCATCCTCAGGAATGGGTGGAACAGGCAAGGTTTACATAAAGAGAGAAGGCCTAGGGCGATTCCTATCCCTTGCCCAAATGGTCACTTTCTGGAAATCCTGAAATTCTACTCTTGGACTTTGATTTCTTTGGGTTCAGTGTATCTGCTTCTTGCAAATATCCCTGGAAATTTTACAGTGCCCTCTGTTTTAATACATCCTGTGAATTTCTTTATTAGATCCCTTCTATCACCAAACAGTTGAGGGCAGGAATTGGAGTTGAGAACACTGGATGTCTTAGGGATTGCTGTTAGACTGAGGAGACTGGGGAGATGGAGGAGGATCCTTTAGGTGCCAGAAAACACTTCCTCTGCCTCCTGGTTTTGTCGCCGTTAACTTGACTTCACTCTCTCTCTCTTTTTCTAGAATCACTATGAACCAAGTGCCCATTGTGCATGCCAAGCTGGATATTGAACATATCGAATTAGATAGGTAAGTCCTATGTTCTTCACTGGCTTAAAACAAGACCAAATTCAGACCGCCTTATCAATAAGAGCTATGTCAAGAGAGGTGAAACAGCAAATCTGTGAATTAATAAATTATGATATTTACAGATTACAGTGTTAGTGGATTTTTATGTTGAAGCCTGAGTCACCTTATGCCTTGGGAAGAATTGTGGACTCCTCTTCCATAAAAAAAAAAAATACATCTGGAAGAGTCATCCTCTATACATTAAAAGAAAAAAATCCTGAGAATATTAACTATGGAGACTATGCAAAGACAGGGAGAGATTTAATTGAAGATGTGGAGTTGAAGTTGGAAAATAAGGGTAAAGCTTTGCTAAGAACGCTCGTGTCATGACAGAAAAAGAAAAAGGAATATGTAGACCGTGACTTACCTTTGGTTTTCTGTCTTATTTTCTGCACAGAAATAGAAAGTCCTGAGCTCTTCTGATGGAGGTTTGAGTTCAATTATTGATTGCTTGATGCTAAGGGTTAGCTCGTTCACCCTATATCCTTGTAGATACAGGCCACCTACAGAGGACAAGAGAAAAAAGCAAGTGAGGAGAACAGGGAAGAAGCTGGGGAAAAGGAATCCAGAAAATGTAAAGAAAAAAAATTTGTATCTGAGGGCAACTAGTCCAGGTGTCTCATTTTGCAGATGAAGAAACTGGCACTCCAGAAGAGCACGTAATTTAATGTCATCCACTAGTGATTAATGGCAAGACTGGTAACAAAGTTTGAATTTCCTAGTTTTCATTTTTGTAGTTGTCTGCCTTCATGTTCAGTATTTAGCTTTGGGTTTCTGTGGGGCTAAGCTAGCTTCTTTACCTAGAGGACACATTTTGAAATTAATTTTTCACTATCAAAGAGTGACACCTGCAATATCACATTAGAGGAAAATTAAATAATATTTACTTGGAGAGAACCATTAAGACATCCTTCCTGAAGAATAATAGAGTACCAGCAGTTTCTAAAACCAAAATAGATTCTCACCTTCTTTGTGCACATGCAAAGCATATTTAAAATATGAACCCACAGGGCGATGTGAGAGAGCCAACTTGAATTAAAATGCGAATAAATGACTGGTTTTAAGAGATAACTTTTTCCCATTTGTCCTTTAAATCCATGTCACTGGTTATATATTGCTTGGCCTGAATTTTCCTTCCAATTTTTGGGGGTTGTGGGGAGGATATCTGTCTAGGAGAAGGTGCTGAAATGTCAAAACTTTTGAGTACTTTTTGTGGTGTCTTGATGCCTTGAGGTAATGTGAATCTCATGCTGATACTCTAGGTAACATAATTAGCAGTGATCATCAAGTATTTAAATTCTTGTTCTTGCTAACTCTTGTTTTCATCCCCCACTTCCTCCCAGAAGCCACTTTAGAGCACTATACTAACAACAAAAAAATACCAAGCTGTGACTTGGAGTTTTGCTGCTCTATCAGGTAACTATTCTATGAAGGGAAAATTTGGTCTCTCTGCATATGGCTGACTTCAGTTTTTCCTTTTGATTACATTTGGTACCAACGTTCACTACCAGGAAGTCATGCCATTTTCTTTCTAAACAGAATGAGTGGCTTTTAGACTTTAAAAATTGTTTATTTTAATTTTAGATGTAATATTAAACTCTTTTTAAATTTTCCTTTTAAAAAGAGTCAATTTTAGAACTAACTTCTAGGAAAGCATTCATTTTAGAAATGGCTGGATTTTTTCCTTTAGTAGACCCCAGTAAAATGGTGTTTCCCAAAATCAGAGAATGACTTCTTTCTTAGATCTAGATGTGTGTTTTTGTGTGTGTGTATGTGTATGTATATATATATATATATACATATATCTATGTATAAAACAACTATATTGAGATATAATGTACATATCATAAATTCACCCACTTCAAGTATGCAATCAATGATTTATAGTTTATGGAGCTGTGCAAACATTGTGATAATCTAATCTTAGAATATTTTCAACACCTCAAAAAGAAACTCTATACCCATTAGCAATCATTCCCCATCTGCTGCCTCATCCTAACCCTGAGGAATCCTAGCCTACTTTCTGTTTCTATAGATTGGTTTTTCCTGGTACACTTAATATAAATGGAATTCCACAGTATGTGGTCTTTTGTGACTGGTTTCTTTCACTTAGCATAATGTTTTCAAGGTTCATCCATGTTGTATAAATGTATCAGAACTTATTCCTTTTTGTTGCTGAGTGATATCCCATTATATGGATATACTATATTTCATTTATCCGTTTGTTGATGGACATTTGAGGTTTCTTTAATTTTTGGCTATTCTGAATAATGTTGTGAATAATGTTGTGAATATTCATATATAAGTTTCTGCATAGATGTATGTTTGGGGGTATACACTAGAGTTGGAGTAAGCAATGTGCTAGATGTTTCCAAACCACAGAATACCTAAACACACATCCAAAGATTATTTTGCTGTCTTAGTTCTTTCCTCCAAATGACAGTACACAGGATTTATGTTACCGCAATGGTTTCTGACTTCTTGCACTTTGTGACATTGCCTTTACTCATATGTCTGAGCAGATACGCAAACCCTCCTCTATCCTTACTGCTTCTGAGAATGGATAGAAGGTTTTGTTCAAAAGGTGTTTGCTACAAACAGTGATATAATGGAATATCATTCAGCAAGCAGGGAAGTTTCTGACACCTTTTCTAATTAGTATTAGGGTAGAATTGATTGGCAGTGAAGACATCTAAGCACAACCCCATGACCTTATTTAACGTGACCTCATTGGGCCGGTCTCTGTCTATTAATGGGTAGCAGAAATAAATAGCAAGTTGGCACAATGTGTGGACAGAGATTTCTGAAAAGAATTCAAACATCATGTGTTGCATTTGTTGCAATAATGTAAAGTATATCTGAGAAGTGCACGCAGACCTTGAGGTGATTTATCCAAGAACAATAGTTAATAGTCACAATTTGTTACTTTCAGCTTTTGCTGGAGAGAGATAAAAGAAAAAAAATCAAGTATATATATGGTGAATGACAAGGGCCTTGAGGCCTAAGAAGAGGCACTTGACTAAAGGCTTCTAGAACACTCACAGTGGCTTTTTAATATTAGCAGGCATAGGCAGGCCGGTAATCCACACTGTGAAGCACTAGCAGTTTCCTTGACAGTGGGAAGGACTTCAGGGAACTGACTGGTGCTCTCTCTCCAACTCCCACAGTTCACATCAGAGGCATAGTTATCCAGCTGAAACTAAAATGTGGGACTAGCATCTATTGTGGTTTTTATAGGAAGTCAGGGTGGTGTTGCTTCTCATGTCTTGCTCTTTCCCCTCATTTCACTGTTTCCTTTTCCCTGTCCTCTCTTTGTTGTTCTTGTTATTGTCTCAGCATCTCAGGTGACTGTTAGGAGAAGGAAGTCATGCCCCACATGCTACTGATACCTTCAGAAACAAGAAATATCATACAAGGCCTTCTAGATCTCTCCTAAAGAACATAAATCAACAGAATAAAGAAAATAATAAAATAAAATCAATAAAAATAAAACAGTAAAGCAACTGAGATGCTTTAGTCAGGTGACCCTATCTCTATGAAGTTGTTACCACAGAAGGCTGATTCTTAATAACAAACCAACTAATATGGTAGGCATATTACAAAACTAATCGAGGGGAAAGAATCTTCTTTAAACATCCTAAGGTTCTGAACATAAAACTGTTCCAATAAGTATATATGCAAAGATATTGATTTTGTACATAGTTTCAGTTTTTTTTGCTGTGATCCATAGATGTAATAAATGTAGACCTGTGTATGTTTTCACCAATTAGACCAGAAGTTTCATGAAAAACTGTGAGGTACCATGGTATTTTTCTAATCAATCAAATCCTATTTTGTTATATTTTTTAATACTGGTCACAACCTACTATACCGATTGCATGACTCAGTAATGGGTCAAAGCCTGCAATTTGATAAAGACTGCTACTCATGGTAATCAAGGCTTGCTTCAAGGTTATGACCTCCACAGGGCTGGAGAACAAGGAACCAGATTAAGATGAAATATACAAGACCCAAGCAGAGCTAGGACAGTACAAGTAAAGGAGAAATTCTAAGTCAGACCAGCACAAAGGCCATTCCCTTAGCATCTCCTAGAGGAACCTGAAATGAGTATTAGAACTCTGTATAATCTTTATGAACATAATAATGATTTATATTCCACACTTATAAAAATGATTAAGTTAAAATGGGTAGTTTAGTGTCTGTAATGTTTATGGCACAGCATGAATTCAGCCATTCTCAACAAATTGCTCTGTCATCCTCAACGCCTGTCTTGTGACAAACAGGCTGGATGGATCCTGGCTACTGCACTCAGTGTGCTGGTGTGCAGGGTGCAGAGACCAAACATAGAGATTCCTGACTATGTACTGCTTTAAGAAGACTAGTTTCTGTCAGGAAAAGCTACGTCTAATGTGGCTAAGAGTTTGGGCGTAGGATACAGACAGCATTTGCTCACACTCTGTCACTTACAGCTGGGTGACCACTGGCATGTTAGTTAACTATGTTAAGCCTTAATTGCTCACTTATAATGGGGCAATAACAGTGGATGTTTTGCAAATATTAGTTTTAGATAATGAACATAAAGTGCTTATTCGAGTCCTGGACACATAGGAAGATTTCTAAACCAAAAATTATAGGCCTTCATTTTAGAACATGTCCTAGATAGAAAATTTCTATTGGAATTTCAGTAAGGAAAATGTTTTTTCAATCTATGAGAAAATTTGGGCTAGAAGTTGAAGACCTATGGAGATAGAAATATTCAAGACATAAGGCTGGGAAAGAACACATGGGTTTGGATTAAATATTTTTATTAGTCACAAATAAGAAAGGAGTTTAAAAATATATAGAAATTAGATAACTTCTTACATATGAAAAGAGTGTGATGTGACAGAAAGGCCAGCCATCGGGCGGCCTGAGTTCCGGCTTTGCCTCTGAAATGGCCTCCAGTCATCTGATCTTTCTTCACTATTAGATGAGGGGATGACAGACTACTCGCACTTCTTGGGAATAATGGCCAATTGAGGTAATTTGATTTTTCATTCATTCATTCATTAAACATCCATAATACAGTCATCTCCAGAGTATTATAATCCCTTAGAAGAGCAGAAATGGCCATCTAGAGATAAAATACAAGGGAGAGTGTGATGAGTGTCTCAAGGTGAGAGTGAAAGTTCAGAAAGGAGATGCTTTGCGTATGTAAGACCATCTGGGATCGCTTTAGAGTAGAGATGACCTGCATTGGAATAAGCGTTTGAAGGACAGGTCGAATCTGGACAATGTGTGCTGGGGAATCAGTAAGTGGGGAATTTTTCAGGGGAAGGAACTAGCACAAGCAAAGACATGGGATCAGAAACATGTTCAAGAGTTGGGGTGTGCTAAGGGAATAGAATGTGACCATGTTTGGTGAGACTGCAGGGTGCTTTAGCCCAAGGAGTGGGAGAGAAAGCCATAAAGAAGGGTTTGGGGACAAAGTGTAAGACCCTAGAGAACTCTGGAGGCAACAAAGAACTATGAAAGGTTCTGGATCGATATGTGAAATGATGAGAGCTGAATACAAAGAAACTTTCCATTTTTTCTCTTTGTCTGCTTTTAATTTTTGTTGGTATAACTTAGGCTACCTGACTTCTGATTCTGTCTTCACCGTTCACTGGCCCAGGGGACTTGGGCAAATGATTTAACCTTGGTAAGTATCAGTTTCCAAACTTGTAGGTGGGGTAACAACCTATCTAATTGGATTGTTATAGAAGTTAAATGAAATGATAAATAAAAACACTTTACAGAGTGACCAGTACAAAAGCCGCACTCAATAAATGATAACTCTGCTTTTGTTGTTACTATTTTTAAACATTTATTAGTAACCATTTCCCAGCTCTCCAACCAGCACCATTCTAAAGGCCTCTTCTGACCTTTCAGAATAAGGAAAGCCACCCAGTGACTGTTACTACTCTTTTAAACTCTTGGAATCAGTCTTTGGGCCCCAGGGGTTTGGAAGCACCTTGTTCATATTTCAGTTTGGAGCAATCTGAGTGTTTAATCCTGGACATTACCTTTCTATCTATGGAAATAGTCTCTTGAAAATGAGCTTCATTGATTTAGTAATTAAAATGGTTCAGACTTTTGCAGTGAAATTTTATAATAAAAATCCAAGTCAATGACAACTTTGGAGGTTTGTTTTGTTTACCTTCATCCCCAACCTAGTACCAGGTGCTTAAACCTGTGGATTTGGGATTGAATGGGACAGCCTGTTCTGGAAGTGCTCAGAAGTGCCGGCTGTCTCTTATAATTGACTAATATTCTGGGTCATGTTTTAACACTCTTAAAATGGAAGGGTGATTAAGTGGAAGAGAAACCGTGTATTGCTCATTCTGAGTGATGAGAAATGGACCACAGTGTGATGTGCACTATGTACCTCTTTTGTACTCTTCCAAGAAAGTTGAAATGGTCACCAGATACCTCCTTCCCATTTGTCATGACTGTCTGGCTTAATTAAACATAGCACAAATGATAAAAAAAGAAATTAAATGACTGAGATTCCAGGATGTTCACTACTGCTAGTTATTTAAGGATTATTCATTTTGAAAAAAGTCCAACTGCAAATAAAATACCAATAATCTCAAGAGTATTGAAATTACAAGAAGGCTTTAACTTTTCTTATAGAAATCAGACACAGTTATTTCATTATTAAATTAAATTATATATATATAGCTTTAACTTGTGTATATAGCTTTTAATATTTATAATTTGTATTTTTGTATATATAACTTCTAATATATTTATAATTCAATAAATACATAATAAAATATATTTAAATATGTAAATTTATATAGCAAGAGCTTTTTATGTGGAGCTTAAGTCACTCTAATAGCAAGTATGTCATTTAATCTTTACAATAGTCCTGTGAAATACCTGTTTCTATTTTACAAATGATGAAACTAAGTTTTACGAAGTTAAGTAACTTGCTCAAGGAAAATTGATAGTTAATGTTCTTTTTGTTACTCACTTGTCCAAGATTAGGGATCCTATGAGAAAAGGGTGGAGTCTTTACCCAAAAAACTACTGGCATTGATTGAATGTCATCAATGGCCAAAAGAATGAAGGGATTAACTTTTTGCTTTTCTAGGTAGTGAAAGCATGGGCTTAAGAATACAGGCTCCGGAGTTAGCTTGTCTGTGCTCAGATGTCAGCTTCATTGCTTAGTACATGTGATCTTGTCAAGCTATGTAGACTTTCCAGACAGTTTTCTTATCTGGGAATAAGAAAAATGGGAATAATAATAGTACGTGCCTACTGGAGGATAATTAAACTAATTTAGGTAAAGCACACAGCACAAGACTTGGTAGAGGCTCCAGAAAAGGTAAGATGGGTCATGACTATTATTATTTTAATTACTATAATTTGAAATGAAATTTGAGTCCATACCTGAGGCCTGAGTGGAGCGAATGCTAGCATAGAAGTACAAGCAGCCATCCTTGAGAATGCAGTAGTGCTGGACCCACATGTCTGTGCTGCAGTCCAGTCGGTGCAAAAGGCCCAGGCACTCTGGGCTCTTGATAGCCAGGGGCGGGAGGCTACTGTTGTGCAGAGTAACGTCTTCCCAGACATGGTTCTGTAGGTGTGGCACAGAGGGACCATCTGAGCTGTCATCCTTGCCAATGGCCATCGATTCCCCGAGTCTATGACATCACCGCTAAGGCTGTTTGACTTCAGAGAATCTGCTGCCGTAAGTGATTCTATTGCTAAGGCAACCTGAAGACCTTAGCAACTAGGCAGAAACCCTGAATTTATCCACTGGCCGTAAAGAATCTCTCCCTTTTCATAGCCTTAGACATCCCCTCTCTTTGGTTTCCATTCTATTGTGAGGGAGTCAAAAAAAAACTTCAGTGATGTTCAGAAAGGAAATGGAAAAGGCAACCCAGCAAAGACTGGTCCATGCTTCACTTTATCTAGAAATCCCATTTGTGCAAAAGAACAAGGTAAGTGCCCCAGGCCAGATCTGGCTTTAAGCTCTCGTGGTCCGTGATGTGGAATCAAGATCCTCTACCTTGGAGGGTGGCCCTTGGTCCCCAGGCCTGAGAGGCACGCTCTTCCTGGGAACTTGACCTGAGGCAGGTGGCATGGTGCTGCTGGCTGTTGGCCAGTTTCTCTCCTTTAGTTGGTTTTGGTTTTGCTCTTTAGTTTTAACGAGGCTGTGTAAAAGGTTTCAGAATACAGAGCTGGCTGTGCTCTTTGCTGTGGAGTGGGAGCCTGCTGGGAGTCTGGGTGTTCCTGTCACTGCTGCAGACACTCTTGAGTGCATTAGCAGAAGAGATCCCTCTTAAAAATATTGAGGCTCATTACGGTGACACATGGGAGAGATGGATGAGTGTAATGAGTGTTGTGTTCCAGGTAAAATGAAATACAAGTCCTGCTGTTTGTCATACGAGATGCCGGTGATTGTTCTGAAAGGACACTTACAGGGCACTGGGCGGTACATTTCAGGTTAAACAGTCCAACTTTTCCTGAACGTACTAGAACCAAAACATGTAGAGAAGATAACTGATGGTAAATACGTTTTGCTTGTGTGCCGTTTTGTGAGGAAATGAGCATATTTAAAGGAAATCTACACTCTTATTAGAAATTGTATCTGTAGCATAAAAATGAAACAAATGGATATTAAAGCAAAATTTCCCTCTGGCCAGGTCATAGTATGAGCTCAGAAAGAGAGAGATCAAATGCCTTAGGGGTTAAAGTGATGACTCACCTGTTGATGTTATAAAGTTATCATTCAGTTTATAGGTCAAATTGAAATTAAAAATCTATTGCTTCAAGGCTAGAAACTGTGAATAGGCAGGAACAGTGAGGCTGGCCTAACATGTCTCCAGAAAAAGGATTTGAACATGAAGCACTGCATTTCTAAACATGGCATTCATTTTCCTAATGAGCTGCTTGGCTATCAGCTCTATCCCAAGATATCCCTGGGATCTGGAACTTAGGGAGTGAAAAGAGGACAGAAGCAGTGATTTAACCTCATGGGGAACTGCTAGTCTGCTCTGTGTGAAGCAGAAATTCCACCCCAGTTTGGGACTTCCCACCGCGCTCACTGAGAGAAATGTCATACAAATCTTGGAAAATAAAAAGAACAGCAGGAATGCAAACTCTCCCATTGAATCCTAGCCGGAAACCTTGTTGACTTGAAATCCTCTCTCCCAGCAATCACAGCAGATCTGAGAAGTCCCGGGGCGGACTGCATGACATCTGACTTGATCCTTTGCCCCTCTGAGGAGAAGAGCAGGATGGAAGCAGAGATAAATAATCAAACACCTTACCTGGCGGACAGGATGGGTCGCTTTGCCCATTGCCTCAAGCCATCTGAAAGAGAGTAAAATGAGAGGTGCTCTCCTTCGGGGGCTAGATAAGCATCATTTGGAGGGGCTGGCTGTTCTCCCTAAAGCCCATCGTTGAGACAGAACAGTCCAGAGGCTCAGATATATTTCACTGCTCTCAATTTGTGGTTGAAGAGCAACATACTCTTGCAAAATTTGTGTTACTAGGTGGCAAAATCTTACTTCTTCCAGGTATATTTAAAATAAATTATTCTTATTCTTCTCCTTTACTATATTTTACTTAGTGCCTAAGAGAAAATTCATTCACTCTTTATTTTACCAAGGTATATGAATTTATTAATACCAGCAGGGCTGATAACTATTAGTGTATTAACTGTACACATTGGCTATTAAAATATGGGAAGACTGGTAAAGAGTCACTGCCCCGAGCTGCCTCGCAAGTGTTCCTTGGACACAGCGGCCACCGTCAGCATTCCCACTTGACCACTGCATTTTCATGGTCCCGTCATCTTAGCCAGGTTCCAGGATCTCCACCCCACTCCATCTTGCCAATCTTTTTCAATTTTATTTTAAGCCACGTAGCTTTGAGTCAAACCATACTGCCTGCTCTTCTCTGTGATACTTGATTTGTTCTCTTTGCCCTCCTCTGTTCCATTTCTTTTTTTGTATGCTTGTATGACCCTATGCCACATCCTTCATAAACTCCTCCTGCATTCCCACATCCAGAAACCTTCGCTCCCCACTCTCAATTCCTAGGCCACTTTGTCTTTTCTGGTAACACTTCTCAATTTCTATTTTGCATTTAAAATATTGGAATGAATGCCTTATCTTCTTGGGTCAGAGCTTTTTTGAGAGCAAGAATTGGTGCTTAATCATATTAATAATCTATAGAGACCTTAAAGTTTGGACATATTAACTATCCAATAAATATTTTGTCCATGAATTGAAATACAATCAAGTCACTATCACTGTACTTCCATTTGTCCTTCAAGAAACATACACTGGAGTACATGTTCTGCAAACAGGTACAGTATATTATTTGCCTAAGAGGTTTCAGACCTAAGCATCTCTAAAATTGGAGCTGAGTCCAAATTCTCTCAAAGAGATATTCCATTGACACTGACACTGTTGACCCATTCCCTTGTTGCCACTGTCTCCCTCACCTCCGCTCCATCCTACCCCTCACCTTAAATTAGCAGTACTTAGGACAAGACGTTTTCAGTTGACACACTGGATTGATTGATGATATTCATTCTCTCAGGGTGATACACTTAATAATAATCCTAAGTCTCTGAGTGCTTAGAGTTTGTAAGCTACCCTCTTAGAAAGCCTGAACATTTCTGCCCAATTGGGTGGTAAGCTTACAAATGGATTCATGCCCTGCAAAGCTCTATTATTATTATTCTTTATTTTGCTCATCTCACAGTAGTGTTTTAAATTGTAGCTCTTTTGATATAAAATAATTTATTTAAAAATATTTTTATTTTTAATATTATTTTTATGTTTAATTAGCTTAAAATTTATAAATCTGGTAGGTTTTGGGGAAGCTAGATGTGAACCAAAGCAGTACTGTGCTTTTTGAGAAAATGTGGAGATGTAGAGTAAATGGATTAGGGGAAGATGCTTCTGTCCTTTAGAAATTCTGTTAAAAAAAACCTGGGGGAATGGTGAAGAACCAAGCTTCTCACATCTAAGGAAAAGACAGTTTACTGACTTGTGCTATGAATTTGCTCTTGCCTTCCCTACTTCCAGTCCCAAGAATCTACCAGACTGCTGTTAAAGGAGCATCCCCCACCTAAAGGGAAACTGGCAAGATAAAAGATTCACGTATTACCTTTTCATTTCTTGGTTTGAGGTGGCACACAGGCAAAATGCTCTATTGCCAGACTGAGGCACACAGTTGAACACAAATGGTTTTCCCAAACTGCTGTCAATGCCAACTTCTGCACCTTCTAATTTTATTACCTCTAGAGGCGGGCATTTTCCTTCATCCTGTAAGTGATAGGGAAGAGGCTCAGCATGGGCAGTGCAACCAAGCAGATAAAGGAGAAAACAAGAGAGGGTGGGAAGACTGAAATTATTCATTTGAACTGATTGTTCTGAAATGAAAATGAAGCCAAAATGAGTTTTTATAGATTATGTTCTCCATGATATATTCTGCAGAAATCCAAATTTCCAGCTATGATATTTTTCAACATCCCCTTTGAATAGCTTCTATTAATATGCAGTTTATTTATGCCAACCTGGGAAAGTATCATTATTTATTAATGCCCATTTTTCCCATCAGAAAAAAAATCAAAAGAAATTGATATTAAAAACTATATGTGGTTTGTAGTGACACAAGCTCTCTAGTTAGTGTCTATAATTAACATGTATTTCATACTTATTGCACATCAGGCGCCCTTCTAACTTCTTTACACCTATTTGATTTATATTCAAAAATGTTCATGAGGTAGTGTTACTTATTCATCTCTGTATTACAAATCTGGAAACTGCAGCATAGAATAAAGAACACTTTTCTTTAAATGACAGTAGTTTAAAATACCATGATATATATGCAAGACAAAAACCATTCTACAGGTAAATATTTCGTTATTTGTATTTATTTTACAATTATAGCTCAAGACAACCTGTCCATTATTCATGTCTTTCCTAAAAACAGCTGTATTGAGGTATAATTCACATACCATACAGTCCTTCATTGTTCAATGTACAAATTCAGTGATTTTTTAGTACATTTACAGTTGTGAAACCATTGCCACAATCTAGTTGTAGAACTTTTCTATCGACCTCTGAGTTTTCTTTCAGCCCATTTGCAGCCTGCCCATTTAGAGGCAATAACAGATCTGTTTTCTGTCCCTATCAATTTGCCATTTGTGGACATTTCATCTAGGTAGAATCATGTACGTTGGGCTTCTGGGACTGGCTTCTTTCACTGAGGGACATGTTTCCAAGTCTCATTCACGTTGTAGCACTTCCTAGTGCTTCATTCCTTCTTTCTGCTGAGCTCTATTGGATTACACAGATTTGCCTCTTTCAGGTCATCATTCACAAGTTGATGGATTTTTCTTTCCAGTTTTGGACTATTTTGAATAATGCTGCTATGAACATTTGTGTACAGGTCTTTGTGTGGACATATGTTTTCATTCTCTTTTTGGTAGGTTACCAAGAGTGAAATTGCTGAGCCATATGGTAAGTTTATCTTTAACTTTGTAAGAAACTGCTCCACACCAATACTCTGTATTGCTTGTCTTTTTGATAACAGCCATCCCCCTAGACATGTAGTGGTATTTCCTAGTGGTTTTTATTTGTATACTTTTAATGACTGATGGAACTGTAGACCACCGTCTGGTGTAGAGGTTCTTAACCAATTTTAGGTAATGATTGCCTTTGAGATGCAGGTGAGAACTATGGACCCTCCCCCACCCCAATAAATAAATGCATATGTGTGCATGTATACATGTGTATGCATGCATGTATACACATATAAAATATTTCTTAGAACTCATTGTGGATGGCTACAGAGATGTTCTTTAACTAAAAATAATATCTCATAGTTGTATGGCATTTTGGTTTATAAACATTTTCATGTACTCTCTTTTTTCTTCTTCATAACTGTAAGATAGGAAGCTAATGTTATTTCTATTTGCTAGTGGAAAAAACTAGTTTCAGTGGGATGCCCCAAGGTTACAGAGACAGAAACAGGATTTAAGGACTAATCTTCTGTCTTTGTCTTCACACTACTTCTCATGCATGTTTGGCTACTTAGGCCACTGCAGTTTGGAAGACTGCAGGCTCAGCAGTTGAAGGTTGTAGTAGTCAACATTTTAGGAGACAGAGTATTTCCTGAAGCCGTCAGCCTTCCTGGAATAGAGACAAAGATCTAGAATTTTGATTGGTTTTAGTAAATAATAAATAAGGAAAGTAGCACATCTTCGACTAATTGTATACGGCCAATAGTATGACACTGGAAAGCAGAAGGATGTATTTCCATTTGCTTTAATAAGGATAAAGACTTTGCATGCCTATGAATAGTGGCTAATTATTTTTATCATTTTCCTAGGAGCATCTTAAACTTCAAAAAGAAATGGGCAAGCATAGATAAAACCTGGAAATTTTGTTCTCTTGGTAAGTAATAGCTGTGCTCATCTGCTAAGAGCAAATACTGCATCTGCTTTCCCCTGGGCCCATTCTACAGGTGAGATGATATGTTGGTTTCTCAGTATCAACACTATCAGGTCACTTTAGAACTAGCGTGTTTTCTCACATCCTTTGCTGTAGGAGAATGCAAAGGAGTACACTCATACGTCATATGGCCCACAACCAAGAATGGTACCTGAAGTTACTAATAAAGGCTTTCCCCCTCTGCTCAGATTGCAGCTGTGTGAGAAGAATGAATGATTGGTGAATGGAGTAGATTTTAAAATGAGGTCTTCTCTCACTCACGTGGTCTCTATCTTGGCCCGGATCCCATGCTCACTCATCTCAGCGGCTGCCTCATTGCCCCTGATTATGAGCCTGCTGGGGCCCTGAGCTCAGCTGCAGGGGAACCATGGCAGAGCCTGTGCGCAGGTGGGGGTGCGCTTGCAGCTGTGCTCACTGGCTTATGCTTTACTCGCAGAGGCACCAGCCGAACACCTTTAAGGCCCACGCTTGTGGCAGTTCAGGGGTTGGCAGTAGTTCTCTGTTCAGTCTAATCCTAATGCTGCTTGGCCTGTGGGTCCATATTCCCCTATCAAATGTTTTCTAGAGATAAAGGACAACCAGAACTGCTTTTCTCTGTTACTGCCACACCCTTGGGGTTTCATTTGCCTTTAGCAAAACTCAATCCCTCAGTTTGGCAATGATCCTTATATGGGTTCTGTTTGACTCTTTCCCTCTGACTCCACTGAAAGTCTCCCTTTTGTTGGTACTAGAAACGATGAAAATGTCTTAAAGACTCTGGTTTTCCCCCAGTTTTACACTATCCTTTCCAAGGCATGGAAAGGCTCTAGCTCCATTTTTCTATTCCTGAGCCAGATCAGAGGTCCAGCTGCTTCATGTGTGCAGGGCTGATTAAAATAGCAGGGATGCTGAAGGGATTCAGCGAGGAAATGTTTAGTGAGGTCCAGAAGCTATCAACTGAGAATACGGGCACGTGGGCTGTTTGCACCAGGTGAGCGTGGGCAATGCTGGCAGTGTCTATCGTGGAAATACGATTTCTACAGGAAAAAACAAACCCAGAGGTCAGACTATTCAGAAAAGGGACATAGTAAACAATCATAAGGACAAAAACCCAACCTGAGAAAATCCACTTCTAAATATTATTTCTATAAAGAAAAATATAGACAAGAACATTTGTGTCTGTCTGCAACTTGGGCTCTCTGGTAAAATAAAATTACCTACAGATGTTTTTGAGTTATTTGCTTTGGTCAACATTTTGGTGTAAACATGTTAGAAATACTGTGTGGCTGCTGGTAGGCCCCTCTGTCTAAGAAGACGGAAAGGTTGGGACACTATACTAACATGTTTCACTTTATCTGAAGGCATAGCCATGAAATGCACAAACTAAGAAGGAGGAAAAGGGCATCATCAGCCCTGAAAAAGAGCTAATTGTCGGTGGGGAAAACAGGGCCGAGATAAATTTAGAGGAAAAGAAAGCATGTCCTAAAGCAAAATAGCACATGAAAGGGTGCATAAAAAACACATCTAGGGTGCTATATTTAAAGCTCACACGTTGAAGTAAAACTGAGGAATGAGTGTCTCTTGGAGGCTTATTAGTGATGCCGAGAGCCCCTAATCTGCAGGCAGCAGTTTGGAGGCACCCAGTTCCCAGTGGTGACTGAAAGCCATCACTCCTTAGTAGCTTTGAGACGATGGCCTCTGTCCACGTCTTAGCTGAGTGGATCGGGAGAGCAGCGCATCTGCGGAGGCCGGAAGGAAAGAGCACAAGAGCGCTTTCAGTGCAGTGACCATGGCCATGTTTCTCCTGTGGTTAAGTAGAAGTCTTGATTCTAGGCACTGAGAGCCCCTCATGACACCACTCATGATGGTCACATGCATACATCCACCTGTGTTTGCATGTGTGTATTTATGTTTTCCTTTTTCTCCTCCTAGTAGGCAAGAGATGATGGACAAAGAATGGAGAACAGAAAATAAAGCTGGCATGCAAGTCAGACCCTTGTTTGTGAGTGGTGCTGGGTTCCCTCACAGCTGCATGAATCTAACTTTTCTCTTTTTGCCTTGATCAGGAACCTGATGACAATTTCATTGCCCCCAAAGTTGCAGTAACACTCCAGTCTGAAGAGAAGTATGGTTGCTGCTGCTTCTCTGCTTTTGTAATGCTTGCTGCCCGGCTGCAGTTGTGACACCAGCAGAGGTAACTTACTTGCTGCAAACACGGGATTTTGTGCTTTTCTTTCTGTTTGCCTGGAGTGGGGAACCATTTTTTAGGAATGATAAGTACATGCTGGCAGCACCACATTGCTTCCTGGCACCTGGAAGACGCGGGGCTCCAGGAAACACAGGCAGCTTTGGGGGCTGAAGGAGTTTCTCTGCACACAGACTAATGCACTGTGCAGCACCCAGGCGGACAGGCTTCCTGCTGGCAGGTCCGCCAAGTGGAGGCATGCTGATGATGGAATTGGCGCTGCCCACTCTCTACAGCTTTGAAGAGGCACATCTGGCCTCAATCATATAGCTCATTTGTCACCATTTTCCTTGGCTCCTAAACTATCCCATGGAGTATAAGTAACAATTCCCACCCAATACTTCAGTCACAACAGAAAGACATAACAAAAGGAAGGCTGTGGAGGAGTAAATCTAAGTCATAGTCATGACCTTGTTAAAAGTTGTCAAAAAGTTGCCAAGTTAACCATAAAATCAAGACATGCTACCTCTTAAGTTGTGCTATTGAATGTTTGTCCTGTGTATTGGTGATTTGTGGATGGATTCTAGAGCCAGACGAGCTGTGTTTGAATCCCCAGTGCCCATGGAGGCTATGCACCACTTAT